GACCCATTCAAGGTTTTAGGGGAAGGAGGTCTCGGCTGAACTGAAACATATTCACCAGATGAGTTTTTAATGCAGTTTCTGCTCCCTGTGGTGCACTCTAAGTTTATTCTTTCCACATTAGAAGCAGTTTTACTGTAAAACATGCAGGAATCGGCCGTTTGCAGGATAGATGAGGATGGATGTGTGACGGGGGACTGCCGCCAGAGTTGAGTCTCTCTCATTAGAGCTGATAAGGACGGATAATGAATGCGAGATCCTCCTGCAGTCGACTGTGCGTGGGATGATCGTCGGGAGGAACACTGATCCTTCAGGCGCTGTGGAGGCATTTTCCAAACAACTCGTAACGTGCTGCTGTGAGTCTATTGACTGGGCGTGATGAGGGGAGGCGGAGAGCTCCGAGCCTTTCGGAGCGTAAATCGTCCCCCTGTTCTGCCAATTTGGAGGAAGAATGAAGCTCCTGCTGCTCCTCAGTTTCCTGTCTGTGCTGGCAGGAGTCGCTCGCGCCTGCAGCCCTCGCGTCTTCAACACACTGAGACTCACTCCGCCGGCTGCTTTCAGACCGCTTAAATCGTTTTCAGTGATGCTCCGCGGCTCAGGCGGGATTTGTTTTGTGAAGCAGAGTGGGATGTTGGGTTAAGGGCCCTGTTAGCCCGAGCTGCTCTTCAGTCCTTTCAGTTATGTCACTTTATTTTTTAAAGGAAGTTTTATTCACTGGAGGAAAAGAACTGTTGTAGTTGAGGGGGATCCAGCAGGTTATGATCCTTAAGATCGCCGTTAGACGATACTTATATTGACTTAAATGTCGATTAAATATGTATTTAACACTTTAAAACAGCCAACTTAAAAACTATAAAATCCATCTGGATACTCATATTAGGTGACTATATGTTCTAACAGGTAATTAGTAATTGTATCATATTACATGTTTATAGTAGCCATTAGAATACGTCTGAATCAGCCCGGATACGAGGGATTAGGATTCAGTTTAATTTCCTTTATATCAAATCACTGTTGTGTTGCTATTTTCTGCATTTTTCACGTCACATGATGTCATTGTCCTTTTTATTGGATGCAGAATTTATTTCATGTGAGCTGGAGAGAGAAGGAGGAACAATAACACACACACACACCACTCATGATACCTTGTAGGTATTTGCGTTCATTTTCTGCTTTTGATTCAACCGGATCTGAACTGAAACGACCTGCGAGGAGTCAGTGGCCCACAGCCCCCCAAAAAGCCCCTGATAAAATACCCGTTTAGTCGACTTCCTCCAGGCTGACGATGACAACTACCACAGCTGCTTTATTGCAGTTGCACATTGATGAAGATATAATATCATGAATCATTTGTGGTTTGTTCTGTTGATGAGCAGTCGTGAATTTAGACTTGCACGTTAACCGTTGGTGTCTCTCAGCTGATGGTATCTTCGGTTACTGGGACGATGAATGGGTGGATGGGATTGGTGGACAGATTTCTGCTGAAGCTGTGTTTCTCTGTGGTTTCTCTATTATCTTCCTCTTTGGGCTTTTTGTTTTTCTCTGTATCACACCTCCTTCCTTCCTCTCCATGTCCTCCTCCTCTTTCTCTGAACTGTTTGTTTTGTGAACCGCAGTGACGAAATGTGGCAGCACCAACACATCATCTGTGACCACTCTTTTTATTTTAATCAGAGTGAGGAAACTAAAATACTTCTCGAGCATTTTAGTTCAGTATTTCCAAGATTCGCATCTGTAGATTATAACGTCCCCTTGTACAGGCTGTAGATGGGATTAAGTCATTTTGAGCGCGAAGCCACTTTGGCCTTTGATAGATACAAATTTATTAAAATTAAATGTATTTAATATATAAAAATTAAGAAAATAATAATTAATAAATATTAAGAAAGGTGGATTGTGGGTAACCTGAGTGTGTGCGATGCGTTAGCTAGTTAACTGCCAGCAGTCATCGTGTTTTCTCTTTTTTTCTTTTGCCACTGTGGAAAAAAACTGAGAAAGAGGATCAGAAAACATATTTGGGAGACGTCCGGCTTTAGGTTATTTGAACTGACTGCTTTAACGAACGCTAGCTAGTGTTCAGAAGACGCTGAAGTAACATACACTTTTTCTTCCTGTGGCAGCAAACACACACAGTAGCTAACTGCAACCTGAGCTTAAATACCCTCTGTATGTCTGACTGAAGGAACCAAACTGCCCCTCTGCTAACACCAAAGACGCTAACAACGTCTCTGTGGGACAAATCTGGTGCTACTGTTGATGTCCAGTGTGATCAGACTCTAGGAAACTGTTTATTTGCTGTGTCTCATGTAGTATATTGAGGAAATCTTTTATTTTAACACAACAGCCAGTTCAGAACAGGGCAATACCAAACTGACTGTGAGGGTAGTTCCTTTTGGAAGGGGCATTACGTCGTGGTGTAATTCCTGCCCTGATTCTAAGGTAACGGGGGATCAACAGTTCTTATTTCCAGGTGATTATACACTAATGAAAACACACCTATACATTTTATATTTAATTTCTGCCAATAGATCCTCCTAAATATTACACACTCGACCTTTAAACTAAATAAACAATTTAAAAAGTGTTTAGCACCACAAAGCTGACAACAGTGACACTACAAACACATGATGATCTTATAGAATATGATGCACTGCTTATATTAATTATTATATCATTATTATATTATATACTACTAGTAAATAAAGTAGTTCAAATGAGCTCAAACATCTACAGCAGTAATATTAATCCAAACATATATAATAAAACACTGCACTATGAGTACTTTTACTTTAAGTACTTTTACTTTAAGTACTCTACTGAGAATACTTTTATTTACAAGCTCCTGTTGTTTCTGGCGCCCCCTGTGGACAAAAGTGGTAGTGTTTCTACTGCTGCGTTGTATTGATTTCGAGGGGAATCTGACCCAGTGGCAGACATTAAAGTCCATTAAAGTCTGAAAGAAATTCAGACTTTTTAACCCTTTAAAATCTATATGCTAAAACATTTACCAATAACTCAATTTCTTTAGTATTTTTTTCTTTCTGTAAAACAAAATGTGAACCAGTTTTAACCAATTATATGACGACATCCAGCCATCAATCAATTTTCAATAAATAAAAAAATACAATAAATATAAATAAACATTTATTGAGTTTTAATTTTACATTTATTCACTTTAATGTGTTTTATGGGGGATTTGACCCCAGTCACTTCTAGACTTTCTGCTGGAGGCAGAACAATGTTAGATAGCTTCACATTTACTTTATTTATAGAGAGACATGAGAGAAATTAATAAATAATTTATTAAACAACAATAATAAACTTATTATATTTTCAAAGTGGTTGAACCAGGATTGAAACCTTTCAGGACTGGGGCAAGATAACATCTTCTCATGTAAAAATAAACCTGAGTTGGAGCTAAAGGGCCCTTTCACT